TCTTTTATTTCTGATTTATCTTTTTTAGTCTAGCATGGAACTTATTGATATATGATTACTAGATTTGTCTGAATGTTTATTTTTGACTTAAGAGAGTAGAAAGGATCGATAAATATGTAGAGGGAAGGGGGTAAGGGAAATTGACACTAACGTTAAATCAAGTGCCTACACTCATACATCAAAAAGACAGTTGTTGTCATCCGATATAGTACGTAAATATCACCCCCTCAAATACATTGTAAGCCGGGTTTGTTATTAACAACAACATTAACAGATAATTCTGATTATATATAATTTTATTATTATGGATTAAGAGTGAATTGAATAGAATTGCGAGTTGTAAATAGAAAAAAATGTATTCTACGTTTAGCTTCTTTTAAAATAGTATCTTTGACTATGATCGTGGATAGCATGGTGAAATGTCGGATAAAAAGCTTGCTGACTTTGGTACGTGAGCCTCATGGTCTACACACACTTAACCAACAGGGTAGATCGCCCAAAAACTCTTACTGACCCTGTATAAAGGATTGCAGGCCCCATACACCAGGAAAAAAAAGCCTAATAAATCTCACTTTTTCCACATCTACCGGTCTAACGAGCTTTACTCTAGCTCAGGGGTTTCCAAACTTTTCAGTCCGAGGGCCACATTAACTATTAAATTTCAGTTCGGGGGCAAGTTTCTTCCGGACATATCATTGATTTTTCTGAAAAAGTTCCTCAGCTATCACCAACAAACGTTTTTTCCGTGGACAAAAAGATCTGCGCGGGCCGGATGAGAGGACCTCGCGGGCCGCAATCGGCCCGCGGGCCGTAGTTTGGAGACCCCTGCTCTAGCTGTACAAGAAAGAGAACACGTCTTTTACCACAGCTTTGTGGGAATCATTGAACCTTTTGCAACAAGAACTTGACCTTATTGTCTAAATATAATTCAAAAGTTTTGTAAGAAATTTAATCTAGACTGCTAAAAAAATATATTCAATACACAGATCAAATACATTTTATGAGGTCATAGTGACACAGTTCATTTGTTTACATCAAAGCAATTCAAAACAGCCCTTTAGAATTAAAAACTCAAGAATCTTGAAACCCGATATTTTTAACGGTCCGGTGCTATTATAAGAGTTGCTATTGCGTCGATCTGTTTTTTTACTATTTATTTTAAACCTGAATAAGCGTGAAGATTTGTGCTTCAAAATTTTATTAGCGGACTCTTCGCGTCAGGACGACGTCCAATATACAAAGGTGGGTCGTTTTATTTAGGAGCGGTTTGCTTTGAAAATGTAATTAAATATTAGCAAATTTCAACATAAACTAAGCTAAGGTAAGATTGTATTTTAAACATGGAACTATACATATCTATGAACCTATACCTACATTTAAACCTAATGGACCTACTGATATTTAAACCGTTAGCAATATTTAAACTTATGCATATATTGACGAAGCGCTTATGTAAACATACGATTGACGAAATAAGCAACTTTCTCATATCTGCTCATATATGGTCGCTATAAATAGGCATACATTTTTTTTGGCGGCCCACATCCCCACAACACCAAATGTACATATATATATATATATATATATATATATATATATATATATATATATATATATATATATATATATATATATGTGTGTGTATACCAAGAACTTGACCCAGACCCAGACCCAGACCTACACCTACACCTACACCTACACCTACACCTACACCTACACCCACATACACCTACACCTACACCTACACCTACACCTACACTTACACCCACATACACCTACACCTACACCTACACCTACACCTACACCTACACCTACACCTACGACTCCCCCATCCATTTTGCCGAATCGGGTGATTTTACATCAAGTGGGACAAAAGGTCTATAGAGACCTAGACCTAGGCCTAGACCTAGACCTAGACCTAGACCTAGACCTAGACCTAGACCTAGAACCAGACCTAGACCTAGACCTAGACCTAGACCTAGACCTAGACGTAGACGTAGACGTAGACGTAGACGTAGATGACATAGACATAGACATAGACATAGACCTAGACGTAGACGTAGACGTAGACGTAGACGTAGATGACATAGACGTAGACATAGACATAGACGTAGACGTAGACATAGACATAGACATAGACATAGTCATAGACATAGACATAGTCATAGACACAGACACAGACATAGACATAGACATAGACATAGACATAGACATAGACATAGACATAGACATAGACATAGACATAGACATAGACCAAACACAAACACTAGCTCTAACCCCAGCTGACCCTCAAGCTATGACCGGGGGGTAATGTCCTACTGGTCGGGGGGTAATTGGCAGGAGGCAATTACTTCGGGGGGGGGGGAATGAACCGGGAGGGGGGGGGAATGCCCTGTTCCCACCTAAATACAGACCGAGACCTTTTCTAAAGTATAGATAACATCTTCACTAATTGACGTTTTATTTTTCAGTGCAAGTATGTTCCTGTCATGCACAATAGTTGCAGTAGCTTTACTGTTTTTGTTGATTTTATTCTTTACAGAAAGTAAGTCGAATATAATTTTTTTAAATGTTGATAAAATGTGTATGCAAATATTAAAGACTAAAATTTAGTTCCTGAACATCACTTTTAAGCAGAAAAAAAACCACTTAAATTATTGCTCTTTGCTAAATATTTAACATTTTAAAAATGTTTACTCAATAATTTAATGCTACAATACCGACTATGTACCAACATTCCCTTTAAATTATAACTAATAGAAAAATTAGGTTAAAGGGGTAGGGTCCGGAAAAAAAAACAGGGGAAAAAACTTTTTAATTAATAAGCCTTTTTTTAAATTAATTTGTTTATGTGTAAGTTATGGTACTTAAGGGAAAATATTTCCATGTACCAGGGACTCTTCTGAAAATATGGTTGCCATGGAAAAACTACCTTTTGTGGAGTTCTAAAATTTCATAAAGTAACATATAAACCGCCCATATAATCATTGATCCTTCTTGTACAAACAACAATAGAGTCAGCTGGCTAGTTGTAATCGAAAAACAGCCAGAAATATTTTTTTCAAATTTTCAAGTTTTTTTAATGGTGAAATACCATTTAATTTATCATTAATTTCAATGGAATTTCGCCATACCAAATTTCGAAACAAAAAAATTTCTAGAGTGTTTTCTGATACAAAAAAAAAGAAGGATCAATGGTTATATAATCCTTATATATGTTAGTTTATAAAATTTTAGAACTCCAGAAAAGGACGTTTTTTTTTCTCAAGATGGCCGCCGTTGCCATGGCAACCATATTTTAAAAAGAGTCCCCGATGCATGGAAATATTTTCCTTTAAGTACCCTAACTTAGAGATATACATAAATAAAGCAATAAAACGTTTTATTTAAGAAGTTGGTTTTTTCTGGAGCCTACCCCTTTAATAATTACTTCTTTTGGAAAAAAGAATAGCAGAAACGATTTTTTAAACTTACAAAGTAAGTTAAAGGCCTTTTAGATATATCAATACATTAGAATTTTATTTCCATAATCTCCGTTTTAGAAGTATTTGAATAAAATATCGTTATGTATATACATCATGCTAAGAATAGTCAGGTCCGGCGCTGCCTATAAGGCGAATTAGGCGGTCGCCTAGGGCGCAATCCATACGAGGGCGCAAAAATGTGTAATCGCCATTATTAAAAAGTTCCTAATAATAAATAACTTTGCGTAGCGATCTATTTTGCTGCAAATGACGAACTGTCAATTTGGACACCCCACCCCTCTTATAATTAGGCCTATAAATAGTTATTCGCGTTGGTGAAAATGCTCCCTCCCCCTTTCCTCATTTGAACAAGCCAGGGCGCTTTTTAACAGTCGTTTTTTTTTTTTGGCTTCCCACAAATGATAGAGAAAACAAATAAGTCCGTAATGCTAAGTAGCAGTCAACATTCTTTTTGCCACTGTATATAATTTAGTAATGAGCTTTTTATATTATTAACTACCAAGTTAGGCACTCCCTTTGTTTCGGCCCCTGTGTCGAGCGTCCCACCAGCCCTTCCCTAACTATGCCTCTGTTAAATTACAGAATTATTGTATATCATCTAAATCTTAATTTCTAGAAATCTTTTTAGCAAGGGAGATATTTTGATTTTCAAACTATATTAATTATTGGCACAACAAGATCTGAACAGAATTTCAAGTAGAATTCTACTACATATCTTGGATATGGGTATACAGTCTTTGGCAGAGAGGCTCTATATATATACTACTAAAACTCAAGTTTGTTTACATGTTTGTATTTTTTTTTTTTTTTTTTGTCTGATCGAGTATTGTGAATAGTTCTTCCTTGATCTGAAGAGCTGTAAAATAGTATGTAGGTAGAGAATATTTTTTTTTATTGCAGACAGACTGTTAATCACAAATTTATTTAAAGACGTTAATTAATTTATTGATTTATTCATAGGTAGATTAACCACATTTTTTAAAAAAAGATTAGAAAAACCACTAGACTCGACGGAAACAATGACGTCACATGATGTGTTTATATTTTTACATCAATAATGGCGGCCTATCGAAGAAGATATATATATATATATATATATATATATATATATATATATATATATATATATATATATATATATATATATATATATATATATATATATATATATATATATATATATATATATATATATATATATATATATATATATATATATATATATATATATATATATATATATATATATATATATATATATATATATATATATATATATATATATATATATATATATATATATATATATATATATATATATATATATATATATATATATATATATATATATATATATAATGGGGCCTCAAAAAAGTTGCTGGGGGATTTTAATAAATTTTATCTAAGGCGCTAAATAACCTGGCGCCGGCACTGCGTATATGTCCTAATAAGAATATTACATAATACGTTTTACATTTTAATTTTTAAAATCTACTTATTTTAAGAAAGGGATGATGGCGTTCAAGTAAACACAAACCAATGTGAGCAGATAAGTATCAACTTAAATGGAAGCCTTGTGTGTTCTTGTGAACCTGGATACAAAATAAGTAGTATTGATCCTAATCAGTGTGAAGGTGAGTAAACGAAAATGCTAAAAACTGACATCCGTACGACAAATGCTCATTGACTTATTGATATTAAGCAATACTAACAACTTTGATTTATACCAAATTATTTTTATAGGTAAATAAATAAAAATTGTTGACTAGGAAAGGGTTTACCTTTTACGTCATTATAAATTTTTTTATTACATATCACCTTACATTCCTTAATAAGACGGTAAGTTGTACAAATATAATAAGAGTCAAATTTCTAAATAGAAACAGCTTTTTATTTGCGGGTTGGCAAACAACTTCTTCAGGTTATATAATTAAAATAAATAACAATAAAATGTACCTGTACCTTTATATGTATCTGTACCTATATGTGATTGGATAACTGCTATCGCAAACAAATGTTCTCAGAATTTAAAAAAGAAATCAGAAAAAAATGAATTCACTACAAAATACGTATGATATTTTTGACGATTGAGTATTTTTAACATTTTTTTTAATTATGCGGTCATTCCTGAAAGTAAAAAAAATCACAAATATCAGAAATCAAATTTAATGTGTGTGCATATATAACATTAGTAGCATACACAAATTTACATTTATAAAATTTCAACTTAGTTTATAAAGCTCCAACACTAACATAAAAACTTTCCATGATTTGTATTGATTATACATTTAATATTTCATGCCATCATATCTTGTCAAGATTTTGTCTGTAAATTGCTAGATTATTTTTGTATATACTCATAAATATCAATTTACATGAAAGACTAAATGAAACGAAAATCTCTATTTATAACAGCCTGTAATGCTACCCACTATGGTCTGAACTGTGCCAACACCTGCAGCTGTAACCTAAACAACACAGTTGATTGCAATGACACCACAGGAGAATGTTTGTGTGCAGCTGGTTAGAATGGCACAACTTGTGATGAAGATGTCAATGAGTGCCTTAATGCCAGCTACTGTCCTGGTTACATGGAAGTTTGCTTTAATTTGGTTGGGTCAGCAGAATGTAGGTGTGAGATTGGTTTTCAAAGATCACTTATTGACCTGCAGTGCAAAGGTAGGACAGAAGATGTTTTATTCTTTACTAAACTGTTGTTTTTTGTATCAATATACTGGAGGTTGAGTGTATACTAAAATAAATTAACAATGCTTTAAACAAATTTCACAATGTTAAATTTAATTTTTGATTCACCAGATGTGTGAATATGATATCAAGGATTTTGATCTTTTTATTTAAAAAAAAAATGTTCAATTAAAGTTAACCGTTTTTTAAAAACCTATTTTTGTCATATAATTTGTTTTTAACAAATGCCAAAATATTCTATACAAATCATTTATTTTAAAAATTTGCAAAATAAAAAATGCTTCATAATGTAAGTTATAAATATCTTTAATTTTGACATATGTTGGTACTGTATTTCTTTTTCCTTACAGCTTGTAATAACACCTTCTTTGGGTATGAATGCTCAAATCCTTGCTCATGTGTTATGGAGAATACAGTAGATTGCCTGGACAATACAGGAGAATGCTCTTGTCTCTTTGGATGGAATGGCACGAACTGTGAAACTGATATTGATGAGTGTGAACAGACTGACTTTTGTTCTGATATCCATGCTAGCTGCTTTAATTTAAATGGATCTGCAGAATGTAGGTGTAATATTGGATATGAGAATTCTACCACTGATGAAAGCTGCCAAGGTAATTAACTTTCCAAAGTTCCATTCTTTAATAATAATTATATATGGGGAAAAACATTTGTTGTATGTTTCATGTGTTTACAATTGTGTCCTTTTATTCTTGAAGTCAAACAGTTTTTTACCCATAAATGTGTTTAGAAAATAAGTTTTTGTTTCTTTTGTACTGCAGTTAATCATGCTTGTAACATGTGTTTTATTCCAGCCTGTAATGCTACCCACTATGGTCTGGACTGTGCCAACACCTGCAGCTGTAACCTAAACAACACAGTTGATTGCAATGACACCACTGGAGAATGTTTGTGTGCAGCTGGTTGGAATGGCACCACTTGTGATGAAGATGTCAATGAGTGCCTTAATGCCAGCTACTGTCCTGGTTACATGGAATTTTGCTTTAATTTGGTGGGGTCAGCAGAATGCAGGTGTGAGATTGGGTTTCAACGATCACTTATTGACCTGCAGTGCCAAGGTATGACAGAAGATGTTTTATTCTTTATTAAAATGTTTTGTATTAATATACTAGTGGTTGAATGTGTACTTTAAAAATTTAACAATTGTTTTGAACAAATTTCATAATTTTTAATTTTTTTTTTTGATTCACCTGAAGTGTGAATATGATTTCAGGGATTTTGATCGTTTTAAAAAACAAAATAATCCGTTTGATGTTAATCATTTTTTCTTAAATATCTTTGGCATATAATTTTTCTAAAGAAATGCTGAAATATTTGATACAAATAATTTATTTTAGATATTTGCAGGATAAAAAATATGTCAAAATGTATGTTATAAAGATCATTAATTTAAAAATATGTTACGATTGTATTCCCATTTTCTTACAGCTTGTAATAACACCTTCTTTGGGTATGAGTGCTCAAATCCTTGCTCATGTGTTATAGAGAGTACAGTAGATTGCCTGGACAATACAGGAGAATGCTCTTGTCTCTTTGGATGGAAAGGCATCAACTGTGAAACTGATATTGATGAGTGTGAACAGACTGACTTTTGTTCTGATATCCATGCTAGCTGCTTTAATTTAAATGGATCTGCAGAATGTAGGTGTAATATTGGATATGAAAACTCTACCACTGATAAAAGTTGCCAAGGTAGACCAAAAAGTATTTTCAAAAATATATTTTCCACTTTAAAATATTTACTCAGTTAATGTTCTAGGAAACCTATACTGATTCTACAATGGGTGGCTACGGTTCATGCATGCTATTTCTTTTTGTATTTTCTTTTTTGTATTTTCACTATATAGCTATTACCAGTTATGTCATATTTCTTAGTCATCATGCATCTTTTTATTGTGGCAGTCAATAAGCAGCCTCACATTTTTCAACAGGACCTCTATCTAGTATAATTTGAAATTGTTATTGTTTTAAATGCAAAGTGGTTTTCAATGACTCAAACTTGTTGATAGGAAAGAAATTAGAATATATCTACAATGATGATATTTGGCCATTATTAGAACTTTTTCCTATGCAATGAAACCAGAGACATGACTGCTAGAATCCAATGAATAGTTTTATTTCTGCTATATCAAAGACTTCAAGCTTTTTCTGGATTCCTCTGTGCAACGTAGATATAGAAAATCTGTTCACTCTTTATACTAACAGTCTTTATCCATGGTGCGAAATAAAATAAACTTGAACAGCCGGAAGGCCTTGCACGAAAAACTATGTTGGTCAGTTCCTATTCCTCACAAATACAAGAGAACATCCATGTGTTTTAGTTAACCACTTGCTGGACTAGCATCTTATGAATGTACATCTTATAAAAGTAGGCCTACAGCTTATGAATGTTGGCCTATATCAGAATAAATTCTTCCGCTTTACTTGCTCCAAACAAATCCCTCTATTCTCTCTACATCACTTACTAAGTATTCAATTTCAGTTACAGTAACACCTTCAACATCAGGTAAATAAATAAATAAATGATTAGACATTAGTGACCAAAGAAATATGCAGTCCCTATTTCAGACATAATTCTTTTGTGAGAATCTTTTCCCATCCAGTAAAAAAAATTGTCACTACTAAAAGAAACTATATATTATTTCTAGATCTATTTACTTTATCTTCTTGCATGCACAAATAAAATTATAATTCAAATAAAAATGATGTACCACTGCTACTTTTTATATACTAGAGGATTATTATTTTATTTGCAAGTATGAATACTATATGTAAGAATGTTTTGTGATTCAAATATTAGTATACCAATGTTATTAAACATAATTAATACTACAATATTTGCTATAGGCCTAGTTATTACACTAAAAACTTCATAAGATAAATAACCAAATATTACACCAATTTCACTTTCATTTACATTCTCCTTGAAGTCTACCATCTATTTCATTCAGAACAGTTTTGCGACAAAATTGATCGCTCACTCTAGACAAAAAGAGATTTTGTAAACATAAATAAAACAATGTCAGCACTAAAACAATCTCTAATCATTCATGAACTTCATGGATTTATAAATTAAGTTAAAATTACTATTATAAACATAAGTAAACCACCACTGTCTATAGTAATTATTACTGTTTGTGTACCGGTATGAATTAATAATAAGTAGACTAAGCATGTAAAACTATTCCCAATATTATTATAAATTTTCTTCCATAATAATTACTATACTACTTTCTAAGCGTGTTAGACCCAAACACTGTCTATGTGTATGAATTAGTATGATTAGAGAATTAAATGCAAGTCATTCTAAGCATTAGCCAGTAAATATCAGTCTAATACTATATTATTATTGTTAAACGTTATGACACATTTTTTTTCTTCAATAGCAGCACTACACTGTACACCTTTTATTATAGGCTTATTATAGTAGCACACTGGATGTATATAGTACTGAATTAAGTGCTAAATCTAAGGAAAAGTAGTAATGATTGAATATTTTTACTATTGTTACAGATTTTGACACTATTTTTCTTCTATAATTTACATATTATTATTGTAAAAATATAAAAGAAAAACAAAACTAAACTAGTGTAAGAACCAACAGTTGACTAGAGTCTACCTACTAGACGTTAGGAATTATTCTATCAACATATTATAATACTACAGAAAAGTCACTATACAGTAGTCTCAGCTAATGTCATGGTCATACCGTTGCATGATGTATCAGAACTGCAAAATACCGTAATTGGACATTATCAGCACAAATATAAAAAAATAGTATGCAAACGACTTATTTTTAGGTAAAATTACTCACCTGAGGTTGTAAATATTTTTTTCAAGAGGAAAACACGGCCTGTGAATTTTTATTATTTTCTCAAAAAAACACCACGATCACAGCTGTCTGACAAGTGTAAAAAAAACGGAATCAAACTCGAATTGTGTGAAACGAAACACAACATTAGTATGTTTCGGGTATGAATTTGGGTCAAAAGTGATAAAGTTAGAGTAAGGCATATTAAAAACTCAGATTTTAGCATTTGCTTAGATTCAATGGCGATTATTTCATCATCATCATCGTTCCTTTGTGGCCCCTGGGGAGCAAAGGGCTGCAACTACACATCTCCATCGGACTCGGTTTTGGGCTACCCCCCTCTTATCTGCGCCCATGTGTGCCCAGCTGTTTTCCTTCTTCTTCAACAGTTCTTCTCCATGTCTTCCGTGGCCGGCCCACCCTCATTTTCCCTGGGGATTCCAGTCCAAGGGATGCCTTGCGATATTTTCTTTTTCTTTTCTTAATGTTGTGTTCTTGCAGTTTCTGTAGCGGTATATTTTTTTTACGAGATAAGGTTGCTAGCCTTATGTTTCAACCCCCAACCTGAAGAACCAGGGTGTTAGCTTTGGTCTGATCCCTACCCGCACAGATCTTCCCAGCTTGGTTGAACCTACTAGGAGTTTACACTCCCGCTGGTATAGCTCTGGGGGTGGTCAAGATACACAAGCTGCCAAGCCACGACAAGGCTCTAACACCAGATGGCAGAGAATGACAAACTGATACAGCTGTTAATACGTGTTGTAAACGTATAAACGTAGACGCTACTAGACTAGTACTATTATGCTTAATTGCTGCATGAAAAGAAATCTTGTGATTAAAAATTTTTTTTAACAAATATCAATGTTTAAGACTTAGAGTTTAAAAAGTTTCCAAAAAGGAGACACTTTGCTGAAAATGGAGCAACTGCTCTCCCTGCTTCCCCCCCCCCCCCTGCTTACGTTACTGTAGATGGCGTTAGTTGAAAAAGATGTAGCTATGTTCAAATGATTTTGTAACATGCATATGTAAAGAATATATCGGGGACTTATATAGCCAGTATTTAAAAATTAAATCTTAATATTATTTGCGGTGGTGTTTCGGTATATATGGTATATATGGTATATATGGTATATATGGTATATATATATATATATATATATATATATATATATATATATATATATATATATATATATAAAGCAATGTATGTGTGTGTCTGTCTGTGTGTCTTTTGTGCATTACCACACCCCTTATCACATCGCCGTCGAACTTTGGGAAGTTAAGATTATTCCTGAGGAGGTTTCTGAGGAAAAAAATTCAATTCGTAGGGTTGGCGCCCCGGCAGGGTGCGATTTGTTTTTTCTCAATATACGGTATATAAAAATAAAAGTCGATTTTTGTATGACAGTGTTCACCCGATAGCCATGAGACTTTAGGGAGTTGATTAGAACTTTCTCGGGAAGGGTTTTGTAAAAAAAAAATCACTTTTAATTTCGCAAGGGCGGCGCCACGGAAATGTGGGATTTTTCTTAATATACGGTATACAAAAATTAAAGACGATTGCGGGTTGACGCAATTTATCCCGGTGCCATAAAACTTTAAGGAGTTTGATGAATACTACCGAGAAGGTATCTGGGGTGGGAGGGGTGAATAGTGATGGGTGGGTGGTGTGGGCGGGGAAATTTAATTTTGCATGGGCGGCCCACCGACAGGATGCGATATGGCGCCCTGGTCTGTCTCGTGAGCGCTATGGTGAATACGTTCGGTCTAAACAGTTTGATAGACAATGGATAGGATTGGGCGTTACAAGCGCTTACTAAATTGAATAGCGTGTCCTCTGGCACCCTGGTAGATTGCGATTAGGCTGCAAATAAAAATGTCTGTTTCAGCCCCCAAAAGCTCACATGGGCCGCTGATGGCCATGTAATACGTTTTATTTTAATAATAAGAAATTAACAAAAGCTTTATTATTAACTGGGATATTTCTTTTTGTCCGTAAAAAATCCAAACAGTTTCGCCACTTTGCGAATGTTGCAATTAGCATCTAATTTTAGATAATCCAATCATAAATTGAGATACAGCATCTAAGAATAGACCATTAGTAACGATTACTTATTGCGTCAGTCACATTGATGTTTAAAACACGTCAAATATTTTTTTACGTGTTAAATAACAAATCCTGTTCATTTGTGTCACTTTAGTGAATGACGCAATCTGCATTTAAGCTTGATTATTAACTGGGATATTTCTTTTTGTCCGTAAAAAATACAAACAGTTTCGCCACTTTGCGAATGTTGCAATTAGCATCTAATTTTAGATAATCCAATCATAAATTGAGATAGAGCATCTAAGAATAGACCATTAGTAACGATTACTTATTGCATCAGTCACATTGATGTTTAAAACACGTCAAATATTTTTTTACGTGTTAAATAACAAATCCTGTTCATTTGTGTCACTTTAGTGAATGACGCAATCTGCATCATTGTTAACAGGATGCTATTTGGCACGATGGCGCCTGTTAGATTTAAGGAGCCAGGGGCCGTACGCGACGCCTATGCGGTAGTGTAATCGGGAAGGGGATGGGGGTCCTAAGAGTTTACTCTACGTCCCTGACACATGGGCTGTCACCGAAGTGTGTTCTACCTCATTATTTAGGTGCGTTATTATTGTACACTCAAGGTTTTCACGCATGACCTTGTTTTCTTATATTAAGTCATTTAAATACATAAAACATTGCCAAAATTTCATGGATTTAATTATGGCACGAGTTTGTCAACCCTTCCGCCCATATGCTCCGAGGCGTGATTTACGAATGTCCTGGTTGTACTTTGGTCAGCTTAAGTAATAAGGAAGTAGCCAACATTCGGCGATCAGCCATGTGTCTAGGGCGTCGCTGAGCACTCTTGAGAGCCCCGGTTACAATACTGTATGAGCGCAAGATAAATCCCCTTGTTCGTTTTAATCATTTAATTTCAACCTTTTTACAAGTAAAACCGATATTGTATGTAATCAAATATGTACAAATACAAAAAGGAGTTTTGTATGTTCTTGCAGATAAAGCTATAACATAAATCGTATTAATCAAACAAAATGTTATTGTCCGTTTTTGTGTAGTAATATTACTAAAAAAGAAACCGCAACATAAAAACAAATGTATTTAATATATGCAATCATTAGACTGTTTCAATGAATAGTTTAAAATATTTTAAGATCAGCAAAATGTATTTTTTTAAATCGTCTTAAAAAGAATTACATTTGTAAATAGAAAACAATCTTAGTAGTATTTTAATTCATTGTGTTTATGTTTTAAAATTAAAGACAAGTTAACATGTTTAAAGCACACACCTTTATTTTCAGATATTAACGAATGTTTAGGCTCAACCACACCTGTATGTGATCACATATGTACAAATACAAATGGGAGTTATCTATGCTCTTGTAGAGATGGCTACAATATAAATCCAACAGACCAAACTAAATGTATTGGTAAGTTTTTTCTGAATAATATTAATAACGAAGAAACTTCATCAATACAATAAAGCTAATTTATTTGTGAAGAAATTGGAAAAATATTTTAAATATTTTTTAGACAGTCTCTGAGTCAACTCGTTAGGGAAAGTAAAGGCGGCTGGGCATAGTGCTGACCAAACTATCTCTTTATATGCCGAGGTCACAGAAACAAGTGAACTCTACTTCACTTGCCCCATAGACCGTCAGGTTTGAAAGGAAGCTTTTTCAAGACCAACAAAGTTTAATTTCTGTTAAATTACAATTAATTTCAGAATGTATATATAGTATTTTAAAACAAAAGCAGAATTTAATTTAATTCATCTTGTTAATTTTATGATTCAAAACATGTTATGTTAAATATTTTTTAACAATTTGTTTTCAGACATCAACGAATGTTTAGGTTTAACCGTGCCGGTATGTGATCAAATATGTACAAATACAAATGGTGGTTATCTTTGCTCTTGTGGAGATGGCCACAATATAAATCCAACTGACCCAACTAAATGTGATGGTTAGTTGTTTTTTTAAATTAAAATTACTAATGAAGGAATTTTATCAATGAAACAAAGCTAATTTATGTATGAAACTATTGGAAAAATATTTTAAATATTTGTAAATACTTCAAGACAAAGTTTATTTTGTGTTAAATTACAAATCATTTCTGAATATATATATAGATATATATATATATATATATATATATATATATATATATATATATATATATATATATATATATATATATATATATAAAACTTTAAAACAATTTTATACATCTTGTTATTTGTAAGATTCAAAACACGTTAAATATTTTTAACAATTTTTTAGACATCAACGAATGTTCCGATTCAACCGTACCGGTATGTGATCAAATATGTGCAAATACAATTGGTGGATATCTATGCTCTTGTAGAGATGGCTACATAAGAAATCCATTAGACCCAACTAAATGTGATGGTCAGTTTTTGCTTACTAGTGTTAAGAACGAGATTCACGTGATGGTTGGTGTTAGTTTAGGAATATTACAAACAAGGACACTTTAGCCATACAAAATTGCTGTTGAAAAGTAAAAACAGAATACTAACTGAGTTAAATACCTTAATACCAACAAAATTTTTTTTTTTGTTAAACTAAAAATTCATCCTAAATTGTGACATTATAAAACGAAAGATGTACTCAATTGTAATCAGTTTTGTTTATTTTTACAAATTTAGAAAATGGTAAAACATTTTTTACTCATGTCTTTGTTCACAGACTTTAACGAATGTACCAGTTCAATAGTGCCTGTATGTGATGATATATGTGCAAATACAAATGGTGGTTATGTATGCTCTTGTAGAGACGGCTACACCATAAATCCAACAGACCCAACTAAATGTGACGTCTAATTATTATTATTATCCATAAAGAAGACACTTTAACAACAAAACAAAATGCAGTTAAAATATGAAATCATTAGACTTATAGATTTAAAAGTAATTTAAGACTAACACATTTTCATTTTAAAATATTGTTATTTTAAATAAAAATTTGTGTCTGTAATATTATAGAAAAGAACTGAATAAAATTTAAACTTATCATATTTTTGTTTTCAAGGTTTTATTTAATATTATTTTTTTCTGGCAGCCTCTCTTTTGTCTTTCATGCTTTGTCAAGGATTGAAACTAACGAGCAAAATTTCGATCACACCTAAATAATCATCTTTTTAAAAAACTTGGCACGTGGATCAAGACCCATATTAAAATATTTGTAACATTTATAACAGTAGCAGCTCAGACCATACATTTTTGGACTTACTTGATTTATTGCACAAAACATTTATAAAATATGTTTTGTTTTAAATATAAACTTAATTCATGTATTTTAATAAAAAATGCAAAACGTTCTTATAAACCAGAAATAATGAAAAAATAGTTTATATGATGTAACGAAGCTAATATAATAATTGGCTAAGTTCATCTGTCTGTATAAAACTACATAAAAAAGGTTACTGAGATAGGTAAACTTATTTTTTAGCAGCACGATTGATTATCGGTGGCTAATAATGGTAAAATACTAGCTTATTAGTCATTTTATGTTGAATCAATGTAATTACATCCTTGGGAACTGACATAAATAACTGAAATCCTAGAAAGACAAATATTCCTGTCGTGCAAAAAAGTTAATGAAATTTGAATTGTTTTCGAATTTAATACCTTATCACTGTATCGTAAATGGAATATAAATGATGCGTTGCAATCGGTTAAAAACCAAACTTCGATTTTGAATCATTTTGCTTTTTATTACTTTCCGTAAACGGAAAATCAGAGTTTTGACATTATGTCTGTCTGTGTGTCTTTAAACACGATAACTTGAGTAAAATGTTAGCTAAGCTGGCCAACTATCATGTATAAGAATTATATCAAATCATGTCTATATCCCGAGTTGCCATCCCCCATAGTGTTATATAAGAATATTCAAGAAAATTTAGGGGAGATCACTCCATCTTTAATTTATTTTCTCTGAGATAATCTGTCCTTAGATGCTTTGTTAAAGACCAATATATATATATATATATATATATATATATATATATATATATATATATATATATATATATATATATATATATATATAATTTTATGTTTTATAATAGTTCTTATAGGATTTGTTTTAAATAATGATTTTCTAAGTAATATAAAAATACTTTGAATCGTTGTGACACAATGAAACCCTTAAATAGCAATTCATTAAATATACTATTATTTACCGAAATTATTTGCCTTTAAAAAATAAATTCATTCATTTTGTTTTTGATTGGTATTAAACAGGTGGGCTTACACCATATTATTAACAATGTTTACGTTTATTATACAATGAAAATATTTTAAATTCTTCTTTATTTATATTCTGTGCTGGGCTTATAATAATCATACATGATTAAATTGAAAATTGGTGGCATAAGGTGTTACGTTATGTCTTATTAGTGATTGTTAATGTATTATGTTTATAATGGTTACTTCCCTTGAGTGTTCAATGTGTTTTGATTATGTGTAATTGATGTTTACTTTTGTGACAGTTAACTAAAAATAGAGTCGTAGACAAGGCGTTTCGTCTAAAGCTTCTATATATAAAAATACAATACCGATGTTAGTTCGGAGAAAGCTGTTTATGAAATGTAACATGGTGGCAGCGATTTAAAATGCATTTCTATTGAGTGATAGCCGTAAAGGCTTGCTATCTGCTGAAATTGTAAGCAAACTAATTACTGTACTGTAAGAAAAGTACATTAATCTGGTCAAGAGATGGCTGAAAGATAGATTTAGAAAAGACCACAAGTTAACCCCTCTCCGGCACTAGATGCTACTGGAAAAAAATTGCAACATATTGAAAAGTTGTGACGAATATTTTGGGGTTAAACCCCAAGAAACGTTTGAGAGGTTCAAAGTCAACAAAATTCATCAGTAGCCAAATGAAAGGATATATGAGGGTCTTGAAAAAATTGTGATTTATGGCAATATATGGAAAAATCACTGTTATGAGACAGAACAGTGTTGGGTATCAAAGGAGGTGATATTAGAAAAATTTCGCTGGCGCACGCACAATTAACATTGAAATCGTGCATATCGTTATTTAAGATAGATGAACAGATGGAGATACACTTTTTGAATGAGGCGGAAAATACGAAATTAGCGATAGAAGACGATTTTGCAGTATCAAATAAAGGAAACTTTAAGCACCACTCGATGTCCAGCTGCAGAAATTGTTGAAAACAACAGAGGTTTGTTAAAGAACTGTGTGCTTTGTGAGGGAAGAGGTGTACTAATTGTGGCAAACTAAATCACATTGCTAAACATGTAAGTGAGAAAGATACGGATTGTTTGTCGGTGCCATCGGAAGAGGTATAGATGTTTTTGTTAGCTGTCGATTGTGGGAGACAAAATATGATTGCAGCAGTGATGATCATTGAGCGAAATAAGTGCGTTTCCAGCTTGATTCTGAGGCAACTGTAAATATACTTTCAAACAAGTATACATAGTATACACAGGTGAATAAGATCAACTATGGTAATAATATACGATTGAAACATAATTGACCTTAAGAAAGGCATGGCTAATGATTAAAAAAAAAACGGTGACGGAAAGAAGTAAATGGTTGATTTGTGATTGTGAACCAGACATATAGCTCTCAATTTAGAAGAAAGACCATTGAGAAAAAGGGAGTAATCACTGTGAATAATAATAATTTTGAAAGTGTACTTAAGAATACTGAAACTATTGATGGGAAAGCTGCAAATGGGTCTAAGGTTAATATAAAAAATAAATGTTTTGATGCAGTTGACCATGTATATTATAACAGTCAGGGTGACATACCTTGCGATTTTAATCTGGAAGTGAATCTTAAGGTTACTCCTGTTACATGCTTGAACAGAGATGTACCACTAGCTATTTACGCTGAAAGAAAAGTGGAGTTAAAACGGTTGGATAAGAATGGTGTCTTTAATAAACAAGTTGAAAAAACTTCTGATGAGGTGAGGCAGAAGGTTATTAAAAACAGGAGATACAATGGTCGCCAAATTTTGTAAAAGTTCTTATGTTCGACCAAAGCTTATTAGAAAGAAAGTAAAGAAAGTAAATTACGTTTATTTTCTAATTTTCAGTGCATTTAAAAGCTTGTTGCTATAAATGTTTTTATATTTAATTTTTATTTTTTTTTATTTTCTACTTTTTAGTGATTCACTATCTATGAAGTCACGATTAAACATATTTCTTTAAAACATTATCAGTAGCTCGCGATATCTGAAAGACGATTACCTGGCTGTGAACATATTTTACGAACGACAGCAAGTTCTAAAGCTTGTTACCTCCCCTTAGTTTCAAATAGTTTAAAAACTTCATTACTGGCCCCTAATAGCCTTCACTAGTTATCTCCCCTACTGTTATTGAATATAGTAATATATCGAGTAATTAAATTTGTTATCCCCCTTAGCTTCAAATACTTTAAAAGCTTCATTATCTGCACCTAATAGTGTTACAATAGTAATATCCATTGTTGTTGATGTGGGTTCGTTTGATACACTAACACAACAGTAGTTTGCAACTTTAAACTTTATTTACAATATCCACAATAAAATAATAATAAGCCATAATTGAAGAAAAACGAAAGGTATAGTACAATAAAAAAAGCAAAGTAACGTGGTGACATCCTACTACACATTCACAGGCAAGCACACTCGTTCACCTTGCCCTCCACCTTTTATACCCAACTTTCTTTCTCCTTACGCCAGTGTACGATCTCACAAAAAAGCATGTAAATACATGAACAGTCGCTCACACTTACTTCCGTTGGCCAGGTACTCTACATTCACGCAACTTCATGTCAATTACAATATAGTTATTATACATAATAATTCAGTCTGTTACAAATAGCTTTCACTAGATCGATCGGCTCTAGGGTTTAAACATTCGGCGTGAAGAACAGCTCACAACAGCTATTTATATCCCCTTCTGTTATTGAATATAGTAATCTATCGAGTTATTTAATGTGTTATGCCCCCTTAGTTTCAAAGAACGTTAATTTAATTTTTATGACTAATTAAATATTTAATAATGAAAATAAATAAATTGACTTGTATTGTCATCAAAGTGGAGAGTATCTGAAAAGTATGAACGAAATCGGTGGATTAGAAGAGGTTCAAAATTAAGTAAAAGAATTGACACAAACCCATAAAGAAAACAAACAAACAAACAAGCAAAGAAACAGACGATGCTTACTAAATACATACTAGTGAAAAAAAAAGAGGGGATGTTACGTTATGTCTTGTAACGTCCATTGTATTATGTTTATAATGGTTACGTCCCCTGAGTGTTCAATGTGTTGAAGGAGATGTTTAGCCCTTGAATACTTATGTGGCAGTTAACTAAATATAGAGTCGGGTACAAGATTTCTATATATAAGAAAAAAGTAGCAATGTTACCTTAAAATTTATGTTAATTTTCAAAATTTGATATGGTGAAATTTCACTGAAGATAATGCTAAATTTAACAGTTTTTCACCCCAAAAAAAACTTTAAAAACTTTAAAAAATGTAGTTCTAGAGGTTTTTCTGTTACAAAAAGTAGCCAGCTGACTCTATTTGTGTTATAACAAGGAGCATCAATCATTATAATGGCGGTTTACATGTTATTTTAGAACTCCACAGATGGTAGATTTTCCAATACGGCCGCCGTTGCCATGGCAACAATATTTTCAATAGAGTTTTCGGTACATGCAAATATTTTCCCTTAAGCACCGTAACTTATAAAAACATAAATCAAATTTAAAGCAACAACAATACAAGCAAGAACAATACAAAGTTGTAAAAAAAAAAAAAGAGGGGATGTTACCTTATGTCTTGTAACGTACATTGTATTATGTTTATAATGGTTACGTCCCCTGAGTGTTCAATGTGTTGA